GCCGGAATGAGAGTATAGTTCCTAGCCATATCGGCCTAGAAAATTGCAACTTTTCATTTTCCGTCGGTCTTAGCATGATGTAACTACAGAAGAGTCAAGTTTTAAATAAGAAAAATATAGAAACTCTTTGGTCATTTTCGAGCGAGATGCTAACGATCTAATCAGATTCAAAGATCTATGCTAAGCTACAGCTAAAAGTGCTACCGCCAGACCCGGAGATCGGCTGAATGGATTCGAAAACGGTAAAACTGTTTAACTCTAGGGGAGTTGGAAAATGAGCCTTGTGTTCCTTTAATAAATAGACTTAAAATTCACCTTTTTAAAATCAAAAGGCTGCTTATATTGACTACAAATTGTTCTTCTCATTTCTTTTGTTTACCTCAAAATGATTTGTTAAAGGCCCAAATGAATATGTCTAATGTAAGGAAAACTGTTTATCAAGAATAATAACAGTAAACTCCTGTTATATTAATACACCTTCTCATTATATTGAAAAAACAAGACCTTTCTCACAAATTGTGACAAATTGTGCATTACTGCTATAAAATATTACCTTGTGTTCCTTTAATAAATAGACTTAAAATTCACCTTTTTAAAATCAAAAGGCTGCTTATATTGACTACAAATTGTTCTTCTCATTTCTTTTGTTTACCTCAAAATGATTTGTTAAAGGCCCAAATGAATATGTCTAATGTAAGGAAAACTGTTTATCAAGAATAATAACAGTAAACTCCTGTTATATTAATACACCTTCTCATTATATTGAAAAAACAAGACCTTTCTCACAAATTGTGACAAATTGTGCATTACTGCTATAAAATATTAAAAAAAAATCTCATCCTCTCATCCTGTATTCTCCATTTCCCTCACTTTCCACTGAGCCAGCTATCAGCTCCTTCATCCTGCTGTTCTGAGCTGGTTGAAGGCCAGTTCAGCATGATATGGCTATGATCTGAAAGAAGACTTCCTTGCCCCTCATGCAGGAAATCCGTTTGAGAATGTGTTCAACTCTGAGTTTGTTTGCATGGATGCCAGGAAAAAACAGCCCATCAGCTACTTGTTGCTGTTTTTAGTTATGGGGGGGATTTTGGAAATGCCCATTTAAGTGTTTGCTCGCTTCTTGTTACGAGCATTAGTGGTGAACCTTACACCTTTAAACTTTGTGAAAACTGTAGGGTCTGTGTGCTCTAACCCTTTGAATTATTGGTGATTTGTTATATGCTACTGCAAAAGTTTGGGGTCAGTAATTTTTACATTTAAAAAAATTTTTTTTTTTTTAAATTTTATATTTTATTATTATTTATTTTTAAATATTTTTATTGAAGTCTCTTGTACTA